AGGATTCCTGTGGTTATGGGTTAGAGTCCGGTTCCCTTCTGCTCCCCTTGGGAGCTGCTGGCCATCCACCCCCAGCTTCCCCAGAGCTGGAGCTGATGCCAGAGGGAGGAGTGTCACCAGCTTTCCCAGGGCTGGAGGGGGCAGGGCAAGTAGCTTTCTGTGGAGCTATTCTCAGTCACTAGGTGGCCTGCCTGTGCTGGAGCTGGGCTGCAGTGAAGACCAGCCCCCTGAGCAGGCAGCCGCCTAGTGACTGAGGTTTCCCCAGGGCTGCAGCTGAAGGTAGGCTGGATAAGGGGGGGAGGGTCCTCCAGTGGCCTAATGGATAAGGCTGGGGTTGGCAATCTCTTCAAACCAAAGAGCCAAACTACATCAAAATTCAGAACAAGTGGTCAACAAAGAGCTGTATCAGAATGCCCATTTGCATTACTGAAAATAGACAACTTAATATCATTGATAATTGACACAGCAATACCATTGTACTCACTCACTTTATTTAATGGGACTTCTGCTGCTGGTAGGGGTGCAGTTTGTGGGTATGGGGGTGCAGGAGGTACAGGGTTGGGATATATGAGGAGCTCAGAGCAGGGGGTTGGGGTGCATGGGAGGTGCAGGAGGCAGGGCAGGGAGCTGGGGGTAGGAAGTAGAGTATGTGGGGGGGGGGCATGGGACTGTAATACCTTACCTGGCCGAGGCTGAGCTACTGCACCTGGGCAGCAGTGGCTGGACAAAGGGCTGGGTAAGGATTGCCACAGCCGGATCATGGCCTCCCCTCCTAACCATGCCACAGCAGGAGGGGGACCACTCCTAGTCCTTCCTGTGGCCAGACAGGGGCCAGACTGTGGAGGCCTGCCCCGGAGTAGGGCCAGGGACAAGATGCTGCGGCTAGATGGGGGCTGGTCCCTGACTGGGGCCTTGTTGGTCAGGCTGCTGTGGGCAGGCTGTTACAGCAGTTGCTGGGCCACAGGGTCTGCCTCAGGAGCATGGTGGCTAGAGACAGACCGTGGCTGTCAGATGGGGGCTGGAGTCAGGCCACTGCAGCCAGATGTAGGGGGCTGGAGTCAGGCCACTGCAGCCAGATGTAGGCATCTGCCATCGCCAGCACGTCTCACTATCCCAGCTTGGTGCATGCATGCTTCCCCTACAGCGTGCTCTCAGCTGGCCCTTTAAATGAGCAGAGTCCCCCAGCTGGCTCTTGCCAGAGTGCAGCTGGTTCTTACCGGGGTGCACTGCCTGACTTCCACCTCTGGTTAACAGCGAAATAGAAAAAAAGACCATCCTGGCATGAGTAATTACGTATCTTTGCAATTTGTAATTCATTTTTCATTTTAATTTAAAAAGTTGTGTGTATTTTGGGAATGACCAAAGGGCCATATTTGGTTCCATGCTGAGCCATATTTGGCTGGAGAGCCATAGGTTGTTGACCCCTGTGTTAGAACATTGTCTCCAGGAGGAGAAGCCCTGGAGGCACTGCTCTCATAGTGAGAGGGGAAACAGATTGAGAGAACGGACTGGACTCACAGACTCTACAGCAGGCACCGGGATGAGCCTCTCTTAGAAGTGTTCTCCAGAAGGGATTGTGATTGCACAAGGAGTGTGACTTGGCTGGAGGGCTGAGTAGCAGCAAGGCTTTTAAAACTGAGGCTGTGCAGGAACCTGCACTTGGCCAAACAGAGCCACTTGCCTAAGTGCCTCCGATACACTGGTACTCCGGTTAAGAGATGGGGAATAAAGGGTGGGGGGTAACTGGTGAGAATAGAGGGAAGTAAATAGTGGTGTTCCCCAGAGGTCTGTACTGGGACCAGTGCTGTTCAGCACAGCCATAAACAATCTGGGGGAAAAGGATCAACAGTGAATTGGCAAAATTTGTGTAGGTGATACATTTGGATACATTTTGTAAGTCCAAAGCAGACTGCAAGAGTTACAAAGAGATTTCACAGAACAGGGTGACTGGGCAACAATATGGCAGAAGGAATTCAATGTTGATAAATGCAAAATAATGTATATAGCAAAATATAATCCCAAATATACATACAAAATTATAGGGTCTAAATTAGTTGAACTCATCAAAAAAGAGCTTTTGGAATCATTGTTGATAGTTGTCTGAAAATATCTGCTCCATATCTAGCAACAATAAAAAAAAACCCTATAGAACTCATTAGGGAAAGGACAGATAATAAGACAGAAAATACATTACCGATATATAAATCCATGCTAACCTATATATCAAATACTGTGAACAGACTTGGTCACTTCAACTCAAAATGTATATTGGCTTTGGGAAAGATGCAGAGAAGAGAAACAGAAATTATTAAGAGTACTGAACACACTGCATGTGAGAAGATCGTAAAAAGACGAGGACGTTCAGGGCATGTCTACACTAGGAAATTATTTTGAAATAACTCCCAAAATAACTAGTTTGAAATAGCATGCCCGCACTACAGGGAAGCCTAGAAATTAGAATGAGGCAGGTTCCCTTAATGTGGACACCCTACCTTTATTTAGAACCCCAGGAAGCACTGGGGAGTAATAACTTTGAATTACTCTGGGGAGTATTTATTTCGAAATAGCAGCAGTGAAGCGTCCACACTATTGCTATTTCCAAATGACTATTTTGAAATAAGTGTTTTTCCTCATGAAAAGCAGGAGTTATTATTTCAAAATAACCAGCCCATTGTTTTAAAATAATGGGCTTGGTAGTGTGGATGCTCTGCTTGTTATTTCAAAATAAAGGGAGTTATTTTGAATTAACTCCCTAGTTTGGTAAAGAGATAATTAAGGGGAGAGGTCTATGAAATCATGAATGAGATGAAAAAACTGAATAGGGAAGTGTTATTTACTCCTTCAAATAACACAATAGTTGGATTTGCCTCTTCATTTTATACCCTAGCTGTACTGGCTGCCTGCCTGCAAGGGCTGCACTCCATTTGCAATAAGAGGGCAGACCACAGCTGCCCTCGTTGTATACCAGTAACTCTAGCCCATCACCCTACTACTACTGGTGGTTGAACTGAGGGAGGATCAGTGAATGTTTTGTTACTAACATCATGTGGGGAAAGTTGCTGACCCTGCTATGATAGGAACACGAAAAGGCTTGCTTCAGCTAGTTTTAGTTTTAAAAAATGACTTATTTAGTCCAGAAATTGAGTAAAATCTGTGGCTGGAAGTTTGAGCCCAAACAGTTGGAAAGTGTATTTAAGATTTTTTTTTCCTATTGAAAATATCTGTAGCACGTTCTGCTCTGATTCCATCAGAGCTATTTCACTGCTCTAGGTCATTCCTGGAACAGGTTCCTTGAATGTGGAACTTGCTTCCACTTCACTCTGCCTGATGTGATAGTCTTCCAGGCATGCTGCATGCCTCTCTGGGCTTGGAGGAAGACATTGGCAGGGAGGCTGGCAGGTTTTTTGGGTTAGTTCTTGTAGGAGCATGCAGTCCTTGGATCTCTCTTGTCCAGCACTCTCAGGACCTGACTGGTGCTGAACCACGGGAGATCAATATTGTCTAGCAGCATTACCAACACTTCCACTGCTTACTGGGCTCTTAGAAGACACTTAGGGGTAAATTAGAGCTAAATAACGGCACAGTCCTTTATATGGTATTGTGTATTTTAAGTTACAGGGTAGATGCCTAAGGCTAGATTTACATAGTCACATTTTTGCCAAAAGATGCAGACTAATGTCTGGTGAGATTTAGAGAAGCTCCTGACCAGATAAAGTACCTAACTTCCATTGCCCAAAGAGCACTGAATGAAGATCTGCAGAGGTCTGTACACACTGGAAAACACCAATATCAATTAATAGGGACAAATGCTACCACTGAAAGATCACAGTGAGGAGTCATAGGCAAATGTATTCCAACCCAGAGCCTGTTTTGCAGGCTCTCCATAAGAGGAGCTGGAAAGGAATATTCCAAGGTGAAGTGTGGCATATGTTTTTGATGCAAGCTGCCTGATTTGGCAATAGCAATCGTGAGCTTACAACCACACATGCACATGAGCAATAGGCTGCTACTGACAGGACTGAACCCCATATAATTGCTGTGAATACAAAGGGCTATCTGATGTATTAAAAATATTCTGCTGTCGTCACAGTCCAGTGACCAGTGAGAGGCTCTATTGCTAACCTAATAATTAGATTGATCTTGCAGGGGGTAACAGAGCTGCTGCTTCATTTTTAGAAAGTTCTCTTTGATCAT